GGGGAGAAAGAGGAAAAGGAGGAGGAGGAGGAGGAGGAGGAGGAGGAGGAGGAGGAAGAGGAAGAGGAGGAGGGGAGGCGGCCTGTATTTGGCCGCCTCGAGTCCTGCGTTGCGACGAGGGACGCCCTGGATCTTCGAGCCCCCAGGGGCCTCGAGCCTCGAGCCAGCCTCCAGGGGCCTCGATCCTCGAGCCTCGAGCTTCGATCCTTTAGCCTCGAGCCTCGAGCCTTGAGGGCCACTGTCTCCAGGGGCCTCGAGCCTCCAGCCAGCCTCCAGGGCAGGGCTTGTTTCGATTTCTGCGATTCGACTCGACATCGACTTCGATGGCTTCCGATGCCGGTTCGATTCGACTTGAGATTCCGATCTGTGCTCCGATTTCTTGTTGCAGGCATACTAGTCTGCCAATCTCCGCCGACTTGACTCCTCCCGACTTGGCTGCCGATTTCCGCCGATCCGATTCGTTTCGATCGCCGATCCCACTGATCGATCCGATTTTGGGCTCTCCTGCCGGGGGCCTCGATCCTCGAGCCCCGAGGGTCACTCTCTCCAGGGGCCTCGAGCTTCGAGCCAGCCTCCAGTGGCCTCGAGCTTTGAGCCTCGATCCTCGAGCCTCGATCCTCGAGCCTCGAGCCTCGAGCCCCAAGAACCGCCTCGAGCCCCGGGCCAGCCTCCAGGGGCCTCGATCCTCGAGCCTCGAGAGCCAATCAATCTCCAGGGGCCTCGAGCCTCGAGCCAGCCTTATACAAGTCGGGCCTGTCCCTCTACAGGAGGAATCTTCAAGAATAGCCCAGAAATAGTCATGGGACGATTTTTCTAGTTCTTGTTTGATTATGTTGGGGCATTTTTTGAGTATGTTTTATGTTCGTCCAAAATCCGCCCGTAGAGGGACGCCCGACCTAAAGCCAGCCTCGTGTATTCTGCACCCCCCTGGTGTGTGTAGTGAGTTCGTCGCCTTCCCAATCAAAGTCTGCGTTGCCATGGCCAGGCGGCTTCCTCATGCGTTTTCACATGTACTTCCACGCGAGGGGAGACACGATGTGACGGGATTGCTCTGCCAAGCGGCAATGCCGCGAGCCAGCCTCCAGGGCCTCGATCCTCGAGCCTCGGGCCAGCCTTCCCGGGCCAGTTCCCCCGGGGGCCCCCTGCCGCGCGCCACCGCGGCAGAGGCCCGCGCCGTCGCCGTGCCGCGGGTGGTGCGCCCGCGGCTGCGGCTGGCCCGCGCCGACCCCGTCCTGAAGGGCGCGAGCGTGCGGGAGTGGCTCGGCGCCGAGTGCGACGGCTTCTGGGGCATGCAGGCGGTGAGGCCGCCGACGTGGGGAGACATCCAGGCTGGGGGGGGGGGCCTCGGCTCGAGTCGAAGAAGAACTGACGCCACAGACATGAGCTTGTGGCGCTCCGCGCGGCGGTCGAAGGAGCACAAGCGCCGTGAGCACAAACTTGTGGCGCTCCTCGCGGTGGAAGTAGACGACTCGCCATAGACATATTTTTGTTGGCGCTCCGCGCGGTCGAAGAAGAGCAAGCGCCATAAACATAAACTTTTGGCCTTCCGCGCGGACGTCTTGGATCTGCGCTGGGCCCCCCAGGCGCGCGGAGCGCGCCAGGGAGAGGGGGGGGGTCCAGTGCAGATCCACGAAATCCGCGCGGATCGCCAAGGGCTTATGCTTCTGTAGTTGTGTCTTCTTCTATCAGGGGCCGCCACGGGGGCGTGACGCGACTCGCAGTTCCCGATGTGCGAACTCCTTCTCTTTACCGATGACGATGGCGATGACACCGCCCTCGTCATCGACATCGTCATTGTCCTCGTCGTCTTCATCCTCCTCGTCCTCGTCCTCCTGCGCTCCCCCGGGGGGGAGACGGCGCGAGAGCAGACGGTCAGGACGCAGACGCGGGGGGACATCCATGTCGGGGGGCTCTCCGAGGCGCTCTTGGAGCCGTCTTGGGCCATCTTGGACGCTCTGACCGCTCGCGGCGCCCCCCGTCTAGGTCCAGGGGAGGGGGTAGGGGGAGGGGTAAACCCCTCCCCGAAGGGGAAGAAGGAGGGGTGGAAGAGGAAACTCTCTAAACCACCTACGCCCAGAGGGCTGGTGGGATTTCGTGCGGACTTTGTTTGGTCAGGAATGAGGACCTACAAGAATCCATGCGAAATTCTTGTCTTTTTTTGCTCGCCGCTTCGGGCAAAAATCCACGCAGAAGTTCGCTGCAGCACGTCTGCAAGGCCGGTGCGATGATGTGTATATACCACCCCTGCGACCCGACGCAGCGAACAAAACAAAAATTGCAACCCTGTGAAAACCCGCGCCCGGGGCCCGAGACCCCATGTTTCTGCGTCTTTTTTCATCCGGATCGATCCGTGCGGGCCCAGGGGCCCGAGGAAGGGCGAGAGCGCACGGCTCGAAAGAATTGAGTCGCCAGGATCTCAGGGACCTGCGCCGATCCCGGCCGGGCCAGTCCCATGCCCACATAGGGCCGCTGCACGGGCAATCCCGGCCGGGCCCTGGGCGGGCCTGGCGCGGCACGGCGCCAGGCGTGCCCAGGCAGGCGGCGGCGGGAAGACATCGAGGCGGAGGTTCTCCATAGTTCTCGGCCTCTCGGGTTCTGATGCTCCCACCTAAGGTATAGCCGTGATCACCAGAAGGAATTTCGAGCACCGGAAAGGTACCGAAACTGGAGGGTTTTCACGTGTTCGGGCCCTGGGAGGCGATACTCGTTCGACATTGTTTCGATACTTCTGGGTGCGACGGGAGCAACTCAACGTAACTCTCGGGGGCCTTGCTGGGCCTCGGGGCCGTCGAGAAGACGGTTCGGGACGAGAAGCCAGTCCCGCGGGCGCCATGTGAACGCGGGGTCGACTGCGTCGACCTCTGCGCGTGAGCCACACGCGCAAGCTTGCGCGTAAGCGCCTTCGCTTCCGATGCAACGTGCCTCGCTGGCGGCCCGCGTTCGCCCCGGCGTGAGGTCGCCATGCCATCTCGTGTAAGACCAGTCCCGTTTCGCGTGTGCATCAAGCAGTGGCGAAGCGTCCTGGCGTGCCTATAGGCCCACCGAAGAATGTTCTAAGAACCTTTGCTGGTTTCCACGAATTGTTCTCAGAACCTTTCTGGCTGAGACTGTCTTGTTTAACACATCGGGTCTATGCTCTAAGAACAGTGTTTCTATTCTTAGAACATTTGTGTGTTTAAGCACATGTCGTGGTAGGCCTATAGAAGGCTGGGACGGTCGGTCCCTGCTCAAGTGCAGGCCTGGCTCCCTCCCACCAGGGCGCCGTGGACGGCATCTACGACGCGCGCGCGTTCGGAGAGGAGCGCAGCGTGTCGGTGGACGTCCCGGTTGGGGCGGGCCGAGAGGACTTCGTGGGCGGTCAAGACGGGGGGTGATGAATCTAAGTCTAGGCCCCCCTGGCCCAGACATGATCGCGTCGTTTCAGACATCAGGACAGCGAGTTTTTCACGATTTTCGGCCCCCGGGGGGCCCTCGCCAGGCCTCAGGACCGTCAAAAAACGACTAAGGATGAAGAACTGGCCCCAGGGGAAGGAGCTGGACTTCCAGGGACGCCGTACTGAAAAGATCAGGACGTCGCATGTCTGGGGGGGGGGTCTCGGAGCAGATGGGATCGGAGGACCGCGCCGCATCGCCAATGCACCGGCAATTCGTGCCGATGTGGAGCCCGACTTTTTCCACACCGAGTCACCGATGCATTGCCGACGTCGCCGACGCATCGCCGATTCATCGGTGATGCATCGGCGATGCGGCGCGCTCCTCGGACCCCATTTGGGAGGCCTCTTGCGAGATGACTGGGGAGGGTGTGGAGAACATGGCCGGGGCCATGATATTTGCCCCGGTCTCGCGGCTCCCTCTTCCTCTTTCAATGCGACCCTTAGCCCCCCCTCGTTCGTCCGCGCACCTTTCCTGGGGCCATGATTTTTGCGAGCCCCCCTCGTCGACCCCTCCCTCCAAGTCGGGCGTGTCCCTCCACAGGAGAGCTATTCAGAAACGGTCCCGACATGGTCTGGGGTCTTGCTGTTGTAGTATCGTCTGACTATGTTTCCATGCTTCCTCCAGAATCGGCCTGCAGGGGGACACGCCCGACCTGTACACCTCAGGCGATGCTTAAGAAAACTGACATTTTCGGCCAGAGTCTCGAATATTCTTAACGTTTCAATGTAATTCCTAAGATTTGAATAGAAATGTTGGGTTAGATTTCAAGTTCTGAGACTATGAATTTCTTAACCCATGATTTCTAAAGCATTTCGCAGGGTGTAAGCCTCCCTCTCGGACGCCCCCCCCCCGGGAGGACGGGGTGTCCCTGGCTGCCGCCCTCCGAGCCTCCGCGGCCCGGCTGGTCGAGCCCCTCGCCGGCCGTGGCCTCCCCGCCGGTTTCGCCGAGCAGGTGCGGGAGGACGCGGAGGACATCGGCGTGGCCGTCGCGAGCCTGCTCCCTGCCGCAGACAGGCTTCAGTCGGGCACGTCCCTCTACGGGAGAACTGCTCAGAAGTATATTTTTTAAAAAGGTCGGGGGACGATGTTCGGAGCCTTTGTTTGGCTCGTTCCGAGCATGTTTGGACCGGTTTTTAGCTTTTCCCCCGACCTGCAGACAGGAGGACGCGCCCGAACTAAAGATAGGCTGAGCCTCAAGCTGGAGCTCATGAGGTACAATTTCGAAGAAGAGACAGCGGCATGAGCACAGACTTCTGGAGCTTCGCGCGGAGGTCCGGGATCTGCGCTGGGCCTCCCCTGGCGGCGCCTCCGGCGCCGCGCCTGGAGCGCTCCGCGCGCCAGGGAGGAGCTTCCGGCGCGGATCCAAGACATCCGCGCGGACCTCCGAAAGGTTCTGTTCGTGCCGCTCTTTGTTCCTCTAGCCATGCCTGCCTGCGGTGGCACCAGGACAACTACGTCGCGCGGGCCATCGTGTCGTACAACTGCTGCGGCACCGAGTACATCCACCACGACCACGTGGACTTCGAGTAGGGGATCGACTACAGAATTGGTTTGCCCCGAAATGTTTTTTCCGTCGAGTGTACCAACAATATAGAGGAGCCTCCGTAGATCTGAAGAGCACTCGATGTAACCCCAGGAAGCATTTAAGAACCCCCCCCCCTTCCGGCAAATCGATAACCCTTCCGCACCCTGGAAGCGTTACCTGGCACCAGGAGCCCTCCTCCTCCTCCTCCTCCTCCTCCTCCTCCTCCTCCTCCTCCTCCTCCTCCTCCTCCTCTCCTCCACCCACGAACTTCCTCCTGCCCCCTCCTCCTCCTCCTCCTCCTCCTCCTCCTCCTTATCATTGCATGAATTTTCCAAGCAGCAAGCGACATCCTGAGTCTTTCATGAGAGCCACGCAGATTTGAATTTCGAATTTCGATTGTAGCCCAGGGGCCAGGCCTCCGCGAATTTGTTGTGTGTCCGGGTGCTAAACCTATCGTGCGGTTATTTCGGCCCCTCGGAATATCGAATAAAAATGCGGTGCTAAGATATCGCCGGGGGGGGTCTTAAATGCTTCCTGGGGTTATGTGCTGTAGGTTCTACGGAACAATGAATTATGGTCCTCCTCTTCTTCCTCTTCCTCCTCCTCCTCCTCCTTCTCCTCTCTCTCCTCCTCCTCTCTCTCTCTCTCCTCCTCCTCCTCTTCCTCCTCCTCCTCCTCCTCCTCCTCGTCCTCCAGTCGAGCCCCTACTCGAGGACTTCTGGGAGCTCAACAACTGCGGCAACAACGACTGCGTTGTCCGCGACCGCGCTCAGGTGCTCCAGGCGGGCGTCGGTGACATGTGCGGTTGCGCCGCCGCGCACGACCCGCCGAAGCGCCAGCGAGGGGCAGCTGCGCTGCACCGAGGCACGGCCTTTTTGCGCCCCCGGACACGATCGCGTCGTGAGGAAGTCAGGACGGCAATGCTTGTCGCTCTTCTCAGCTGGGGCCCTCGCCGGGCCCCGTGGCCGTCAAAAAGCGGCTCAGGATGAAAAAGCGGCCCTGGAGAACGGGTCGGGTTTTCCGGGGACGCCGTCCTGGAAAAATCAGGGCGTCGCATGTGTGGGTCTGCATCATCTTCTGTTGCGGCTGCTTTTCCGGGTCCGCGGGCGACTCGTGTGCACCTTGCCGCGCGTTGGCGTCTCCCGAGGCGCATTCGATCCTCGACCTGGTAATGCTGCGGTGCGTAGCTGTTCGGCAGTCCGGGATGACAAGCTGTGCACCGTACCGCGTTGGAGCGGGGGGTGAAAGGAAGTCCTGGGGCCTCTCGGGGATCTCGTGGGGGCCTCTGGTGGCCGTCTTGGTGCTCGGCTGGATCCTGGAAAAGTCGTCCGGGGTGGTCTCTGGTCGGCGGCGAGCGAGGGGGGGAAATGAGGAGGAGAAAACCTTCTCAGAAGGCGGCGGGACTTCTCAGAAGCCCTCGCGCCTTCTGAGAAGCTGTTGTTGGTCTTCGGGGAAGACTCAGACAACTCCTCAGAAGGCCGAGGGACCTCCGAACCTTCTGAGAGGGCCTTCTCCTTCTCACTTCCCCCCCTCGCTCGCCGCCGATCTGGGCCGTCCCGTCCGGGCGGCACCCGGGGGGAGTACACAGTCGAGAGGCTGAGAGAAGGACCGCTTTGGGCTCGGAAGAGGCCCGCTGTTCCTCAGGTCCTTCCACGGCTGTTCCTCAAGGCTTCCTCGTGCACGCAGGCGCCTCTGGGGCCAACACGGGGCCTCGTTGCTTCTATCCAGTCCCTCCCTCCCTCCTCCTCCTCCTCCTACTCCTCCTCGACGTGTACATCGATGATTATGGTTTATCGACTGTCGGAACGAGCTCGGAAGTAATATATGACCTGTCGGAGGAGGCCACCTCGTTGAGCGTTGCCATTGTTGACGACATCGGTGGCAGCATCTCTCATGAGAAGGCTAACCTGGTGGCCTCTCATCGCCATGTTGCCGTTGCTCTACGCAAAAGACTTGGAGCTCTCGCTGGCCAGCGAGTCGAGTCTTCTGCAGCCAACCTTGGAGTTGACCACACCTCTGGACGGCCCCGTCGGGCCCCCAAGCGTTCCAAGGTTTTCCTGCTTCGTATGCTGACGCTGAAGCGCAAGACGAAACGGCTGCAAAAGATACGGCAAGCTTTAGGTAGACACGCCAGGAAGCTATGTATTACTGGGCCTCTGCCAGGGTACTTCTACGGGTGCAAGGCTCACGGGGTCTCGGACAGGGAGTGGGGGATTGCTCGACGTGCTTTTGGTCGCTGCATCAGGCCCAAGGCTGGATCCCGCTCGCTCACCTCCGTTGTGGTTCTTGACAGGGACCCTACCTACTACGGGCCTATTGCCCCCATCCTGGGGTACACCAAGGAGCTCTGGGGGACCCGCATGCGTACGTTTGATTTTACCTTGACATGGTCTGGGCTCAGATCGTCTTGGGAGTCTGTGTTCTTAGGTCCTGGGCCCGATCGCTGGAAGCAGGTCACGGGCCTCATCCGTGCCATGAAGCTCAGCTTGCGACGTATTGGATGGTCGATGCCGAGCTTCACAGTAATGAAGGACAAGTTCGGAGTTATGTTGCTGCTCACGCATGTGAGCCCTGCACTATTGAAGCGTCAGTTTAGGCTTGCTGTTGTTCACCTTCATGGCCGCCGTTTAGGCGCCAAGTTGCTTCCCATTCTTCAACAGCCAGTCCGAGTGTGCCATGATCAGGTGCATGCTATGTGGCAGTCGTCCAAATTCACGTCCTTCGAGAAGGGCTCCATCAGAGCCCTCGCTTGTGCTGCAGTTTGGAGCAAGGCCCGCGCTCGTGCTGCGGGATACCAGATGGCGAGTGGACTCTGTGAATTATGTGGAAGTGCGGACGACGCGATCTTGCACCGTCTGTGGCACTGGCCCGCATGTGATTGCACCCGTAAGGAAGTCCTGGGGAGAGAGACGCGCACCTGGCCCCCCCCCCCCCTCTGACCTCACAGAGGAGAGCGACCCAGAGCAGCACCTCCTCTACACCCGAGGGCTCTATGTTCATCCTGGGGACTATCTCCTTCGCCCAGCTCATGATATCCATGGTCCCGGTTCTGGCGTCCAGGTTTCTTGGACCGGGGACCCCTTCAACAACAGCGCCGTCCTCAATGGTAGGCTCTACGTGGACGGCTCGTGTTTTAGGAATGTGTCTCCTGAGCTCTCCAGGGCGGGTTGGTTCGTGGGGGAAGTGCAGTGTATTATCTCGGGGCCCCTGCTTGCGCACTTCCCCCAAACCTCACAAGCTGCCGAGTATGCGGCCTATACTGCGGCCGCCCATTGTGGATATGTAGGCAGTCACATTTTTAGCGACTACCAGAACGTGGTTAACCCAACTCTTGACCCCATCCCCTCCCGCCTGTCTTTTCGCCGTCCGTACGCGGGGTTTATGTTCCAGGCCTTGGGCCCTATAGTTAGCGCCGTCACTGAGGTGAAGGGGCACGTTCCCGATTGTCCCGACCTCACGCCTGAGGCGCGTGCCCACAAATTCGGTAACGATTGTGTTGACCAGGCTGCCCGCCTTGCCGCCCTGAGACACCTGTCGCCAGACCCAGAGGATGCCGAGCGGGCTGCTCGGGCAGCCCGCATTTATCGTGCAGTGTGCAAGTTGGCGGCACGCGTCATGTCTCTGTGGCTCAAGTTGGATCTTTCAGAAGCCTCCTGGACCAAACCCCCCTCCGCTCCGAGGCCTCCTCCTCTTCCCCCTCACGACTGGTCCTGGGAAGGCAGGTTTTGGATTTGTGCCTCGTGTTGTGATCCTCAGAAGCCCTCCCCTGGCCGCTGTCGTGGCGCGGCCACGATCAAAGGCCTCACTGGGCAGGGCTTGGTCGACCACGGGCACAAACCTGTATTCTTTGATGTGAACCAGGGTGGAGGCATCCTAGTTGCCTGCGCCCGATGTTGTTATTATACGTGCGGCGGCCAGGTCAGGAAGCTGGGCAAGCATTGCTCAGGCCTACCCGACAGGCATAACAAGTCTGATCATGGCCGTATGCACGCGTGGAATGTGATCATGAAAGGACGGCACCCAAAAAGCGGAGTGCCGCTCGCCTCTGGCTTCGATGACACCTCTTCGGAGCCACCCTTCGGCCACGACGACGTGGCCAACCACCAGGCGCCCGCGCCGCTCCCCACCTCGGTCGCCCCGCCGTCGGATCGTGTTTGTGACGGGGGGGGGCGGCGGGACAGGCTGTGCCGCCTGGTGTCCTGGGACTTTCTTCCTCCTCCTCCACCCCTCCCAACGCGGAGGGGTTGGTGGAGCCCGACGGACTGTTCCCTACGGTGGATGAGGACCCGTCTGCCTCTGGAGCTGCTCGTGCAAGGTCAGCGGGGTCTGGCGACTCCGACTGAGCCTGCGGTCCTGGGGTGCCCTTCGTTTGCGTTGGCCACCGCCCAGGTCCATCGCCCCAGCTGATGTTTCCGCCCAGTGCTGTTTCATCCTGGTGGCATTCACTTCCTCCGCGGTTGATGTTGAAACCTCCTCCTCCTCCTCCTCCTCCTCCTCCTCCTCTTCCTCCCCCCTCCTCCTCCTCCTCCCCCCCCTCCTCCTCCCCCTCCTCCAGTCGAGCCCCTCCTCGTCCTCCCTCCGCCTCCTCCTCCTCCTCGTCGTCCTCCTCCTCCTCCTCGTCGTCGTCGTCGTCCTCCTCCTCCCAAAGCCCCATAGCGTTCCTTCCTTCAGCAGCACGACTGTCGGGGGCCTCAGACCTCGGGGGGCCTCGGGCCAGTCTTTCGGGCGTGTCTCGGGCGTGTCTCGCGAGGTCGCGGGCCATCTGATAGGGCCTCCTGTCGAGTAGGGCATCGACTACATAACGGACGCACCCCAAATCTGATTTTTCTCGCCGAGTCATGCGCAGCATCCTCGTAGGCCTACGAGCATTCGACGCGTGTCTCATGGGCTCGACGACACACATCAATCGATTGGGGCTGATGGGATTCTGTGGTCCGATCCCCTGTTCGATCCTGGGGGCCCTCTCGGGGCTTCCCCGACCGCTCGGAAACGATCTTGGCTGGCCTTCGGGCGGGTGGCAACGGGGGTGACCCGCAGGGGGGCGCAGACGACGGCCCTGCAGGGGCCCTGTGGGGCCCCTGTGGGGCCAGCTGGCGCCCAAAAGGGGCCCTGAAACCTGAAGGCCCTCTTTTTGGAGGGCATTCTTCTGCACGCCCCGTTTGGGTCACTCCTCGTGGCAGGGCTGGACCTGAACGCTGTTTCGCTGGACTTCGGCTGTGTTTCGTTCTTTCCGTTCTTGGGAGGGAGGAGCAGGCAAGCAGGGAGAGCAAAAGGAACAACAAACGAACAACACAACGAAACCAACGCAACAAAAACAACGTAAAACAGCGTTTGGGTCCAGCCCGCCCAATGCCACCCGCCCGAGGGCCCGCGGCCCCGTCGCCGGGCCGTCCCTGGGGGGAGGCGCGGCGCCAGCCGAGGAGCGGTCAGTGAGGGCGTCGTCTGGGAGAGCCTTGTGCGGCGCAAGGCGCTGCAGGACGCTTCCTCCCTCCTCCTCCTCGTCCTCCTCCTCCTCCTCTTCCTCCTCCCTCCTCCTCCTCCTCCTCCTCCTCCTCCTCCTCCTCGTCCTCCTCCTCCTCCTCCTCCTCCTCCTCCTCCTCCTCCTCCTCCTCCTCGCTCCTCACTCCTCACTCCTCACTCATCCTCCTCCTCCTCCTCCGCCTCCTCCCTCTCTTTTCCCCCTCCTCCTCCTCCTCCTCCTCCTCCTCCTCCTCCTCCTCCTCCTCCTCCTCCTCCTCCTCCTCCTCCTCCTCCTTAGGTTACCCTGTGGCGTTAGTTCCTCCTCCTCCTCCTCAGCCTCCTCCGACCTGCCTCTAGAACACAAACTAAGCGCTGCAGTAAGGGCCGCTTCGGGCTCGGGAGGGACTTGGTTGGAGGGCCCTGCGTGCCTGCTTCTAGAACACCAAGGACCGCTCTCGCGTTCTAGCCCGAAGCGTCTACGGACGCATTGGGTGTCGTTGCGTCTCTCGACGCAGTCGGGGCGAATGCGTCTATGGACGGCGCGGCCGCTGCTTTCGTCGCAGTACGAGGCCGGAGAGAGGGTAGATCCGTCCACGGTACGTTCTTGTCCTAGAGCAGGTCTCACGTGGCACTCCAAGCGCTGGGGTTTCCGGGCCGCTCCTCAGCTAGGCCCGCCTTGGCCAGAAAGTTCCCTTCGTTCCTTGGCGAGTCGCCTCGCTCGCTCAGCCGGCGCATCTTGTATCACCGGTGCTATGTGTTTGTGTATTCGTGGCGAGCAACAAGGAGGAGGACGAGGAGGCGGAAGGGGGGATCGGCCCACCGATGGGGCGCGGTCGTGGCCTAAGACACGCGCGGCCCTTGTGACCGACCCTTACTTCGGGCGTGCTCGCTTGGCTTTGCAGGCTTCGAGGGGCATTATGGGCTCCCCTGAGGGCCAGACCTTGGCCGAAACATTCGGGGGCAGACAATTGGCCAACCTACGCAAGGCCTCCCTACCACTGTCGGTGCCCACACCACCTGGACAAGGGACGGGGAGTTGGTTAAGCCTGCCACCTCCAGTGCTCGTGCGACTGCCGAGCCTCGCACACTTCGTGCACCAAAGTTGACTATTCAATGTGTGCAGCGAATGGGTCGGGTGCACGGTCCTACCTCCGACTGTAAGAGAGGGGTATGCGGAGGGCGGAATCGGCAGGGGCACGTTATAACATGAAACTAAAGCTCTTCCTTTGCACGGGTGTGCTTGCATCCAGCTCCCAACGGCCTCTCGTGTCGGGCCCAGCTTACAATAAAAACAAAACCGGCGTTTTTTGTCCTTCGGGTGCTGCTGCATGCAGTGGCCCTTGGCACGTTCGAGCCCACGACGAAGCGAGACTATCTTCACTGGCCTCTTGCGGTTCTTCGCAACCCGAGGATGCTGGTGCTTGATCCGTGGCAACGAGTTAACAGCCGAGGCAACTGCCGCAAGACGCTTGTGGACCCGTTGCAGGAGAGCTTCATAGTCCTTCAAATAATCTAATTGAGGCTGGATAAGGTTCAGGACCTTCGCGAGGCCTCTCTGGGCCAGAGCGTCGGCTCGTTCATGGGAGGCGGAAGGGGGGGGATGAGGATGAAGAGGAGGTCTTTGGATGGCTTGTTGTGTCCATCTGGGGCGATACGGTAGCGCGATGGCTGTGGGGAGTGGGTCGGGGTCGGCGGGGACTCGCTGTTTTTGGTGGCCCCTCCACGGCGCAAGCACGGACCCGTGTCAGCCGAAAAGGTTGGTGCCCGAACGGAGACGTGACGGAAGACGTGCCCGGAATCGTTGCCTGAAAACGTGGCCGGATCGAAGTCTCGGGTGTTGCTAGAAGTACCCCTGGCCCAAGGTACCCCCAGGATTCTCGGGGTGGCCCAAACGGCCATTGGGGCACCCCTCACGAGGCCCAAAGGGCCTCCAGGGCTCCAAAGTGGAACGAAAAGCTGGGGGCACCTCGGGCCAGCGGCACTTCCAGCAACACCCGAATAAGTCGTTGCGAACGACAGGGAGCATCGTCTGAGCGACGCAAGAAAACGGGGTCGACTGTGCCGACATTGGCGCGCAAACTGCCCGCGGAAGCCGCCGGCAAGGTGCTGCGTAAGACCAGTTTTTGGTCGTCGTGCATCTGTGTCTCGAGCCAACGAATTCTGTCAGACTCAGGCGCGTCCAGAACAACCGAGTATTTTCTTTGGGTGGAGGTCTGAAATGCCGTTTCGATGGATTTTCCAGGCTTGAACCTGCAAAGGGGGTGAATCACAAGACGGATTGATTGTCGGGCCGTTGCACTCCCAGTGCACTCCTCTTGCGCGCCTCGTGCACACGGGCGCCCTGTGGTGTCAAGACGATGCTTCGCTCCTCGTCGGATCGCTCCTCGTGGTAATCGGTTGACCCCGTCCTGGGGCCGCCGAGTCAGGAGGAGGAGGAGGAGGAGGAGAAGGAGGACGGGGTGGAAGAGGAGGCCAGGAGAGAGGCTGGGACGGTGGAAGAGGACGATAAGTCTCGGAGGAGGGAAAGAAACCCATACCTCTACCCTTCCCTCGTGTTCCCCTTTTGGTCCTCCTGGGAGGCCCTCGTCGCCACTGCTGGCTTCGCCTCGAGATTCTGGTCAGAGCGCACCCTGTGAGAGGTCCGGGGAGAAGCGGTATCGGTACCTTTTGGTTCCCCCAGACCGCGGCCACGCTTCGACTCGGTGGCGAGCGAGGGAGATAAAGTGAGAAGGATAAGGCCTTCTCAGAAGGCTCGGAAGTCCCCCAGCCTTCGAAGAAGTGTTCGAAGCCTTCCCGAAGACACGGACACCTTCTCAGAATGCGCGAGGGTTTCTGAGAAGTGCCGCCGCTTTCTGAGAAGGCCTTCTCCTTCTCATTTCCCCCCCATCGCTCGCCGCTAGTCGACTGCAGACCGTGGCCTGCTTGGACCGCACGGCACAGAAAGATGCAGTAGGCGAAAGACATTTGGGCCCACCGTGCCCTCGTAGGGGGACCCTTTCTGGGCTGGCGCGACGGGCTCCGAGACCGAAGAAGAGGTGCATCGTGCGCCGAGGCTCCGCCACGCCTCCTGACGGCCCCCGGGCCGGTGGGCGCGCGTGTGTGCTGTGTGTGCGTGTGCGTATCGTGGCCACGCTTGGATTGCAGGCCCCGAGGTGCACGGCGCACGCCTGCCGCGGAGGCGCGGGGGCGGATTCCTCGTCAAGGGGAAGCTGTTCCCGGGTGTGGCCACCGGCCTGGTGCACAGGCCGCCCGCGGAGCGCGCGGGCGGGGGGGCGGGGGAGAGCGCCTCCTCCTCCTCCGCCTCCTCCTCCGCCTCCTCCTCCTCGTCCTCCTCCTCCTCCTTTTCCTTCTCCTCCTCCTCCTCCTTGTCCTCCTCCTCCTCCTCCTCGTCCTCCTCCTCCTCCTCCTCCTCCTTCCCGTCCTCCTCGTCCTTCCCGTCCTCCTCCTCCTTGTCCTCCTCCTCCTCCTCCTCCTCCTCCTCCTCCTCCTCCTCCTGTTCCTCCTGCCCGTCTTCCCCGTCCTCCCCGTCCTCCTCCTCCTCCGCCTCCTCCTCCTTCTCCTCGTCCCCCTCCCTCCTCCCTCCCCTCTCCTCGTCACCCCTCCTCCTCCTCCTCCTCCCTCCTCCTCCTCTCCTCCTCCTCCTGCTCCTCTTTCCTCCTCCTCCTCCTCTCTTCCTCCTCCTCTTTCTCCCCCTCGTCCTCCTCCCCCTCCTCCTCCTCCTCTTCCTCCTCCTCCTCCTCCTCCTCCTCCTCCTCCTGCAGGATGCTCAACTCGGGCCTGGTGATGACAGGTCACGTGCGGGTCGTCTGGATTTTCTGTGTCAACAGTTGTACGCTGGAGCCGAGAAGGAGCTGGCCCCGCTGTTTGACTGCTCAGACTACGGCAAGTACCAAGGCCGTGGACGCCAGGTCACCTACCGCAAGACCACAGCGGGAGGCGCTCTGGGCAGCCAGCAACCCGCTGGCACTACTCATTCTCGTGCTGTTCGGGCCCTACAGCATCGGTTGGAAGACCTCACGCACGTAGTGGCCAAGCACGGGTGTACACCCTTGCCGCAGCATAGCATGATCTGGCAGCCGCTCATTGATTTTGTTGGTGGTCAGGGTCGGCTGCGGCGGCTCACAGCGGCGCTCGGCGCCAGTTTGGTTCAGGAGGTCGTCTATTACATCACGTGCTTCTTTGTGCAGCCGTCCGTGTACCACGTGGCCTTCCTCCGCACCCTCTGTGTCACCCTGTCCAACCTTGCTGGTGCTGAGGAGCGGCGGCTGGGCCAGGCTCGAGGTCAGGGGTTTGTCAAATGGCTCAGGGATTGCTTGAGCAGCCGTTCTAAGCCTGTGCATTGCTGGACGAAACCTCGTGGGTGGCAGTTGTCCCAGGTCCACACTTCCCTGGGCCCTTCGAGCCACGCCGATGATGTGGCCAACGTTCAGCGGGAGTTTTGGGAAGGTATATGGGACGGTGGGTCTTCGCCAGCTTCTCTGGATGAGTTGCAGCAAGACTTGGCGCAGCTACGCGATTTGGGTCCTCGGCTTCCGCCAATGGGCATCCAGGAGCTGCGCAAGGCCGCCAAGGCCTTTCCTGCCAGGACTGCAGTAGGTGCTGACCTATGGAGGCCCAAGCACTGGGCCCTGGTGTCGAATGGGGCTTTATCTTTCTTGGGATATATGTTTCATCTCTGTGAAGTGTGGTCTTCCTGGCCTCGGTATCTGCAGCATATACATATCGTGCTGCTCCAGAAATCTGCGGGGGGTTATCGGCCTATCGCTCTATTGGTTTCGTTATATCGAGTTTGGGCCAAGGCTCGCATTGGTCATGTACGAAGCTGGGCCAATAGGTTAGGTCGTCCGTATATCGCGCTCGGCACTGGCAGGGCGACCACGGACGTTGCCTCGCGTGTTCTGTTGCATGGTGAAGCTCATCCACCGCAGAAAAAGGCGCAGTGGAATGACATTATCTGCCTTCACGCCATCGTGGACATTGAGAAATGTTTCGACAGGGTTCCCTGGGCCGTCATCACACAAGCTGCTATCAAGCACGGCTTCCCAGGGGCTTTGGTGGCTCTAGCTTTGCGCATGTACACGTACGAGCGTCGATTAGCTTGGGATGGGGCTTTCTCGGAACCTGTGTTTGCTTCTCGGGGAGTACTTCCAGGATGCAGCATGGCGATGTTTATATTACAGCTGGTTCTGTTATCGCCTATAGACGCTTTGTATGGTAGCTCGGTGCACATTGATCGCGCGCTGCACGTGTACGCTGACGACCTGACGGTACAGATCCAAGCAAAGGTAGATAGTATTTGCAAGCACGCATGTTATGTGTTGGAAGGGTTGGTGGACGTGCTCGGCTCCGTTGACTTGGCGCCCGCCAAGCGCAAGATGACCGTGACTTGTGCTTCTCCCACCTACGCTCAACGGGTCTGTCGTGCTCTCGGCAAGTTCGGTTATCGATATGTGGCGGCCCTAGAAGTGCTGGGCATAGAGGTCACCTCAGGACGAGCTTTACGCTTTCAGGGGCTTCATGCACGAGTGCGTAAGGTGGGTACTCGCTTCCCTAGATTGCGTCGTGTTCGTAAGGCTGGGGCACTCACTGGTAGGTTTGCCAAGTCTGCTGTTCCTGCTGCTCTCAACTACGGGGTGGGAGTACATGGTGCGCCTCCAGCCGTCGTCGACTCCATGCGTAAGGCTATGCATAGTGTATGGTATGAACCAGGTCGTGCAGGTTCGTCGTGGATATCATCCTTCTTGCATGGAGGGGGTCCTCAGGACCCCCAGATCGCAGCATGGGTGGATCCTATCTATCAGTGGTGTTTACTGTGTTGGGATCGTTCACAACATGCACTACTTCAACAGGCCTGGCGTCGTCAGGCCCCAGTTATTTACGTATCCAAGCAACCATGGGGTTTAGTGTCGGGTCCCACGGGGGCCACGCTGCTCGCGTTTCGTTCGCTCAGGTGGGTTTCGTCCTCTGCTTTCGCGGTTCGGACTGAACAAGGGGATGTTCTCGACCTTCGTGAAGCGTTTCCTCTTGCTGTGCGAGATATGGCCCGTGCTGCTGCCGCGCGACGATTGTGGTCGGACTGGGCCTCTCGGGCTGATCGCGACACCTCGTGCACTTTGGACCCCAAGAGCCCCACAGGGTACTGGCTGGAGCCCATTGTCTCGCTCTTGGGTAAGGCTAGGCAGGACGAGGACCCCGATAAGCCCTACCTCTTATCATATCAAACAGCAGGCACCCTGAGAGCCCTGGTCACGGGAGGTTTGTGGACTCCAGCTCGACGATTTTCGTGCGGATATGTTGCTGACGCTCAGTGTCCTTTGTGCCCAGAGGTCTCTGCCGACGTCTTCCACATTCCGTGGACGTGCGTTTGCAATGAGGAGGGGCGCAACACTCTGTATGATGATCAAGATAAATCTGCGCTTCCTCACCCGACCCCAACTTCGTGGTTTTGGGCCCGCGGCCTAATTCCACGGTCCGTATTTCCTGCCATTCCTGCTAGGGATGACTCATGCACGTGGCATTCGATGTACGGAGACTGTCAGGTTATCACTGGGCATGTGTTTTCTGACGGTGCTTGTCGTAAATGTCATTACTGGCCTGAGGCCTCTCGGGCTGGATGGGGCTTCGTGCAAGTTGGGGATCATAGTATTCTTTTGTGCGTGTATGGGGCCTTGCCTGGCCCAGTTCAAACGTCTCCACGGGCTGAGCTGTATGCGGTTGTTCAGATTTTGAGAGTTGCGATGTTGCTGATCACCATTTACACCGATTACTTGGATCTGCCTGAAGGCCTTGCACGTGGGCCATCGTGGGGGTGCTCTCCGAGGCGCCCAAATAGTGATCTGTGGTGTGAAATATGGCGTAGGATAGAGGATCTTGGAGGACTGAGTTCTGAGCTGCAGGTTTTTCATGTCCCAGGGCACCAGAAAGGCATGTCTTTTGAGGCCCGTGGGAACCGTTGGGCCGACTTTGCGGCCACCCAGGGCCGTGATTTGCATGCGGTTTCAGACTCTGATGCTCTATTTATGAAACGGCTGTATATGGCCACCCGCAAGACTCTCACTTGGATGGCCCGTGCTCGCACTAAGTATATGTCGGAAACGGTTGCCCCAGGTCAGGATCGCTTTGAGCAACGACGGAAGGCTCGTGCCTCTGCTGCCGCTCGCGCGGCTGCTCCGCTCGACCCAGGGCTCCTGCATGTGTTTTATCCGGGCAGCAACGGATGGCGTTGCGCCTCGTGCTCCAAGACCTGTCGGTCTGACAAACAGCGCAGGATATTCGCGCGCCGTCGTTGCCCAGCGAAGATATCTCTTTGTGCGAGGATCCTTCGCTCTGCGGTGGAAGTCTCGGGGAGTAAGGTCGGCTCTCAGGAGTGTGAGCCTGGCCAGCTTACCCCTGTTAGCACTTCTGCCCCTCCTGAGGACGGTGGGGGTAGGGTTCGGGCGTCGTCGCCGTCGCCGTCGTCTGGGAGGAGGGCTCTTCCGCAGGTCCGCGCCCGCATGGCCTCGCCCCATCTCAGGAATGTGCGTGCCAGGCAGGGTGATGCGACCTTTCCCACTGCTCTGACTCTCGACCCCCTGGCTTCAGGTGGCCTTGTAGATTTGGATTTCATGATCGCTGAGGAGGCGGCGTTTCACGATGACTTGGGCGTTGGGGCTGAGTCTGGGCCGTCGTCTGCGTCGTGGGAGTGGGGGATTCCTGGTCACGATGTTGATCGAGCTCAGGCTGCGCAGCCTCGAGCTCCCTTCGTGTCGCAAGGTTTGCCCCCCTCCACCTCCTCCTCCTCATTTGCTGCTCCTCCTGCTGCGGCTGCGAGTTTTGCTCCTGCTCGTGCTCGCGCTCGCTCTACCTCCCCCGATTTGAGAGTCGTTCGCGCTCGTGTTTCTGCCCCTATCCCTCCTGACAGAGGGAGAGGGGTGAGTTTCGCCCCTGCTGGCGATGACGACCTGCAAGAAGCCGTCCATGCTGTTCAGGCGCGCCCTGCTTCCTCCGCTAGTGGGGAACCCGTGCCGAAGCTTCGCCGTGCACAGGGGCCTCGTGGAGGTTCGCGCCTTCCTAGCTCTCGGCCCCTTTCCCCTCTGCCCGCCTCGGGGGATGTCTACCCCAGGAACGCTCGGGGCCATGGGGTGCGTGTTTCTCCTGGCAAAGTTGTCAGTTGTCTCTCTTGTGGGGCCATCTCGACTGGGGGGGGCGTCTGCATTGTTGGATGTTTGCCCCCCGCCTCCGTGTAGCAAGCGTGGAGCCTCTCAT